AAGCAGCTCAAAAACATGTAATCTTTTCCCTAAAATGGACAGAATTCCCCATGTCTGCTACTGGCGTAGGGTGTCCTGGAAAGCCCACACGGGAGAGCCAGTGGAGTGCTCACTCGAGAGGGGGTTTGCACGCTCTCCATGCCATGGAACAGCTCTACAGGGAATGTAGCCAGCAAGGCTGAATTGGGGGGAGGGAAGAAAAGCAGTGATACACTCCAAAACTTCACCTGCTTGAGAAACCATTCATAGCAGCGTGTGCAGGTCTTCACTGAGATGAAACAGGCAGTTCAGATTTCACAAGCCTATTATTTTACACTGTCTTCAGACTCACTGCATTGGTGAGGCTCAGTTTATCATTTGCAGGTTATTTTAACAATCATAAGGAGTAAAGACTTCTTAGCTGCTTTCAATCAGCTCAGCTCCATTGATTTCAATGCAGATATGCTGGTTTATGCCGTGTGAGGATGTGGCCCTAATGTAATTATTTTTTAAATTACATCTTAGATGGCAGCCTCCCCTACACCCACCTCCCCTGCAAATATCCCAACTCTGGCTCACTGGCCCAGTTCATTGCCTGATAGCCAGTGAATCTGGAAAACTATGGATTCATTAGCTAAAACTCATACAGAAGAGCATATGTGCAATGGCCAGAGAACAGGTCTATGAGTGCCTCAGACTGTCTTCCTTTAAACTTGAGATTTGCTCAGGAATGAAGAATTGGGCCATAAATGATACTTGCTTCTGGGCTGGCTTTTGTCATAACAGGTCCACACTGGATAAGAACTGACGATGCTGGCTTCTCAAATACCTTCCTCGCTAGTCTGCTTTTTTAAAAAAATCCACTCATTTTATTATCTATATTTACATATATTTATCTGTGTGACAGGTCCAAAGGTGTCCCAGATGATTAACTAGTGTAATGTAATTCAAAATTCAGTTAATTCTAAGTGAAAAAATTAAAACCAAATCTCTCATTATATACATGAAACCAAAAGTATGGAACAGCACAGACTCAGACACAGGCATGCATTTTACAGTGATTAAAATTTTATATTTTAAGGTTTGTATTTAAGATAGAATTCATTTCCTTGCTATTTGACAGAAGACAATGATATATAAACATTGAGTGACACACTATTGTAATACTTAGATGGATCTTGTTATAGCTTTTGGTGTGTTTCCCCCGCCCCTTTTTATCTCAATGAGGTATTTTGTGATACTGATTTTGATTCTGTAGCCTTCAGTCAAGTCCCCACCCATTGCTGTTAAATGTGGTTTTACTTTTCAGAAAGGAAGACAGAGCTGGACTACTTCTTATTGTAAAATACTATGCTCAGTGAAAATAGTGCCTAACATACATGAGCCCCAGATGAAGACTGACTGATTTTTCAATACATTAGTGATAATCAGTCTTGAACATACTGCTATATTTTTTAAAGGCTGTTGATTTCTTGTGGGATATTGAAACTAAGTGAAGTCCTCTTAGTAGCGTTACCATTAATTACTTATGTCTTAGTATCATACGCTCCCTGATGAAACATTCTGCTCTGAGTGGAAAAGCACCCACTGACTTCCACGGGAACTAAATTTGACAGTTGCCAAGGCAAGCTATTCCCTCAGCTACCATAGTGTCAATTTGGAAGGACTCTGCTTATATCTTTGGAATTCCAGTGGATTTATACCAATGTAATTGGTGACAGAATGTGACCCATGGACTCTGACTCCCAGGAAGAGGGAGGGGTTAGGCAACCGTATAAGATACCCTAAGGCGTATTCTGCTCTCACCTCCAGGATGCAAACAGGTGTTCCCTGGGTGGAGTCAGGCAGAAGGCTCTACAACTCCATCCATGTTTCATGTCAAAGAAGTGCCAGCACTACATTGAGCCTTTAGAGAGTATGGAGGACTTGTGGCACCTTAGAGACGAACCAATTTATTTGAGCATAAGCTTTCGTGAGCTACAGCTCACTTCATCGAATGCATACTGTGGAAAGTGTAGAAGATTTTATTATATACACACAAAGCATGAAAAAATACCTCCTCCCACCCCACTCTCCTGCTGGTAATAGCTTATCCAAAGTGATCACTCTCCTTACAATGTGTATGATAATCAAGGTGGGTCATTTCCAGCACAAATCCAAGGTTTTCCCACTTCCCCCCATCCATCGGTGATCTTCCTGATAACACCATCCTGGCCACTGTGGATGTAGAAGCCCTCTACACCAACATTCCACACAAAGGTGGACTACAAGCCGTCAAGAACACTATCCCTGATAATGTCACGGCTAACCTGGTGGCTGAACTTTGTGACTTTGTTCTTACCCATAACTATTTTACATTTGGGGACAATGTATACCTTCAGATCAGCGGCACTGCTATGGGTACCTGCATGGCCCCACAGTATGCCAACATTTTTATGGCTGATTTAGAACAACGCTTCCTCAGCTCTCGTCCCCTAACGCCCCTACTGTACTTGCGCTATATTGATGACATCTTCATCATCTGGACCCATGGAAAAGAAGCCCTTGAGGAATTCCACCATGATTTCAACAATTTCCATCCCACCATCAACCTCAGCCTGGCCCAGTCCACACAAGAGATCCACTTCCTGGACACTACAGTGCTAATAAATGATGGTCACATAAACACCACCCTGTACCGGAAACCTACTGACCGCTATTCCTACCTACATGCCTCCAGCTTTCACCCTGACCACACCACACGATTCATTGTCTACAGCCAAGCTCTGCGATACAACCGCATTTGCTCCAACCCCTCAGACAGAGACAAACACCTACAAGAGCTCTATCAAGATTCTTACCACTACAATACCCACCTGCGGAAGTGAAGAAACAGATTGATAGAGCCAGAAGAGTTCCCAAAAGTCACCTACTACAGGACAGGCCAAACAAAGAAAATAACAGAACGCCACTAGCAGTCACCTTCAGCCCCCAACTAAAACCCCTCCAACGCATTATTAAGGATCTACAACCTATACTGAAGGATGACCCAACACTCTCACAAATCTTGGGAGACAGGCCAGTCCTTGCCTACAGACAGCCCCCCAACCTGAAGCAAATACTCACCAGCAACCACATACCACACAACAGAACCACTAACCCAGGAACCTATCCTTGCAACAAAGCCCGTTGCCAACTGTGCCCACATATCTAGTCAGGGGACACCATCACAGGGCCTAATCACATCAGCCACACTATCAGAGGCTAGTTCACCTGCACATCCACCAATGTGATATATGCCATCATGTGCCAGCAATGCCCCTCTGCCATGTACATTGGTCAAACTGGACAGTCTCTACGTAAAAGAGTAAATGGACACAAATCAGATGTCAAGAATTATAACATTCATAAACCAGTCGGAGAACACTTCAGTCTCTCTGGTCACGCGATTACAGACATGAAAGTCGCTATTTTACAACAAAAAAACTTCAAATCCAGACTCCAGCGAGAAACTGCTGAATTGGAATTCATTTTCAAATTGGATACAATTAACTTAGGCTTGAATAGAGACTGGGAGTGGCTTAGTCATTATGCAAGGTAGCCTATTTCCCCTTGTTTTTTCCTACCCCCCCCCCCCGAGACGTTCTTGTTAAACCCTGGATTTGTGCTGGAAATGGCCCACCTTGATTATCATACACAATGTAAGGAGAGTGGTCACTTTGGATAAGCTATTACCAGCAGGAGAGTGGGATGGGAGGAGGTATTGTTTCATGCTTTGTGTGCATATAATAAAATCTTCTATACTTTCCACAGTATGCATTCGATGAAGTGAGCTGTAGCTCACGAAAGCTTATGCTCAAATAAATTGGTTAGTCTCTAAGGTGCCACAAGTACTCCTTTTCTTTTTGCGAATACAGACTAACACGGCTGTTACTCTGAAACCTTTAGAGAGTATGGGTCCAAATTCTGATCTAGATTCCACAGCAATTCATTGACTCCCATAGATGTATTCTGAATTTATATAGGAATAAATTAGAACAGGATCTGGTCTGATATCATTCATTGTGTCATTTGCTTATGGATATCAGTACACAATGACAATGAATAAGTGTGTTGTTCTTGCATGTAATATAGCCATATACTTTCTATGTGATATGTCCATTTTTCATAACAGTTACACATAAATGCAATTTTAAGCAAAAATAGAATATAACATAGCCAGTACCTGTGTAGAACAGAAAGAAGCAAGTTCCACATTCCTATAACACAGTGCCTAGAAATGTAATTAATGCACAGTCTAAAGGGACTCGCTGAAATTCTGTACAGGATCATTATATTCCATGACCTTCCAGGCTCTCTATCATTTGCTGTGAAATTTGTTGCTAGAAGCTTTTACCGCCTCTGTTTTGATTTCATTTCAAAGAAATGTATGTAGCCTGGCAGCAGCCATCAAAACTGCAAGCATTAGGACAAAGAACAGGGGCAGAGGAGCATATAAGAATCAAATCATCTCCTGAATGTGATAGACGATAGCTGTTTAGAATTAGTTTTAAGTATGGTTTGATAGTTACGGTTTTACATTTAAGATTTTCTTTTAAAATGCTCATTGTTAAATCATGTATTTTCTCCTCAGTAAGCACCCAGAATCCCTTATTAATGAGAATGGTTCATACATCAGCGAGGAGAACAGACTGCTAAAAAGTCATTTTTCTCCAGGAGCAGCAGTCTCCTTGACTCTGTCAGGAGATGGAACACATACCTTAGGAAATCATTCCTTGCTGGTTAATTCTAGTTGAAATGTCTCAGGAATGTTTCTTGCAAGTATTTTGATGGAAATTAGAGTGAAGGATATGAGACCTAGTCCTCTGGTATTTCAGCTGGAGCTTACATAGGCAGGCTCTTTCAAAAAAAGAACAGAGCGAAGGGGTGGCACAGCTCAAAATGTATTAGTATCCAAATCAGAGTAAAATCACACTACTCTGCAAAAAATTCAGCAAAAAAACAGAAGTCTGTTAATAGATCAAAAGTATTTAACAAATGGAAATGAGTAACCAGCCTTCCTCTTGGGCATTCAGAAGAAAGTGCACACAGAGATTGGAGCAGCATAAAATCTTACAACAGACAGCGAGCACGAGCACATCAAATGCAAAACAAATAAGAATTTTAATTCAGCCCATCACAAAATAATTAAAAACAAGCTTATTAAGAAAAAAAAAGCAGATGAAATATTAGTATGTAAATATGTATTTCTGTTCTGTTATTGTTTGTGATTAACAGACTCACAGCTGCTATTTGCTCTGCATTTGGTGTATTGTTCTACAGTATCTGTAGTAGTTGTATGTTCCACCCATCCAAACCTTGGCTGGAGACATCTGTTGGTAATGGAGGGAAGAAAGAAAGAGTGCTCTCACACTTCTAGTCACAAAAAATGACCTTGACAATTGTCATAAATATAAAGGGAAGGGTAAACACCTTTAAAATCCTTCCTGGCCAGAGGAAAAACCCTTTCACCTGTACAGGGTTAAGAAGCTAGGATAACCTCGCTGGCACCTGACCAAAATGACCAATGAGGAGACAAGATACTTTCAAAGCTGGAGTGGGGGAGAAACAAAGGTTCTCTCTGTCTTTGTGTTGTTTTTGCCAGGAACAGAAAAGGAATGGAGTCTTAGAACTTAGTAAGTAATCTAGCTAGATACGCGTTAGATTCGGTTTTGTTTAAATGACTGATAAAATAAGCTGTGCTGAATGGAATGTATATTCCTGTTTTTGTGTCTTTTTGTAACTTAAGATTTTGCCTAGAGGGATTCTCTATGTTTTGAATCTGATTACCCTGTAAGGTATTTACCATCCTGATTTTACAGAGGTGATTCTTTTTACTTCAATTAAAGTTCTTCTTTTAAGAACCTGATTGCTTTTTCATTGTTCTTAAGATCCAAGGGTTTGGGTCTGTGTTCACCTACGCAAATTGGTGAGGATTTTTATCAAGTCTTCCCCAGGAAAGGGGGTGTACGGTTTGGGGAGGATTTTGGGGGGAAAGATGTTTCCAAGCGGGCTCTTTACCTGTTATATATTTGTTAGATGCTTGGTGGTGGCAGCAATAAAGTCCAAGGGCAAAAGGTAAAATAGTTTGTACCTTGGGGAAGTTTTAACCTAAGCTGGTAAAAATAAGCTTAGGGGGTTTTCATGCAGGTCCTCACATCTGTACCCTAGAGTTCAGAGTGAGGAAGGAACCTTGACAACCATATACGTTGATGCATGGTTATCTTGTTGAATCTGCAGCCATACTGCCTAAAACAAAAACATACACAGGTGTGAACTTATCCATTATCGTAATAGGATATTAACTTGAAGTGTAATTATCAATGCTTCTCTGAGCTCATGGAAATATGGAGGTAGCTGTAGCATGCAGTAGACTGAGCAGAGTTTACATTTCATACTGGCATGAATGAGTGGATCACTGCAGACTACGTGGCTCTGGGAAGGAGGATAAAGCAGTACGAGGCGCAAGTGGTGTTCTCGTCCATCCTCCCTGTGGAAGGAAAAGGCCGGGGTAGGGATCGTCTAATCGTGGAAGTCAATGAATGGCTACACAGGTGGTGTCGGAGAGAAGGCTTTGGATTCTTTGACCATGGGATGGTGTTCCAAGAAGGAGAAGTGCTAGGCAGAGACGGGCTCCACCTAACAAAGAGAGGGAAGAGCATCATCTAGAGCAGGCTGGCTAACCTAGTGAGGAGGGCTTTAAACTAGGTTCACCTGGGGAAGGAGACCAAAGCCCTGAGGTAGGTGGGGAAGCAGGATACCGGGAGGAAGCACGAGCAGGAGCGTGTGAGAGGGGAGGGCTCCTGCCTCATACTGAGAATGAGGGGCGATCAGCAGGTTATCTCAAGTGCCTATATACAAATGCACAAAAACAGGGAAACAAGCAGGGAGGTCCTGGTAAAGTCAAGGAATTATGATGTGATTGGAATAACAGACTTGGTGGGATAACTCGCATGACTGGAGTACTGTCATGGATGGGTATAAACTGTTCAGGAAGGACAGAGAGACCAGAAAAGGTGGGAGAGTTGCACTGTATGTAAGGGAGCAGTATGACTGCTCAGAGCTCAAGTATGAAACTGTAGAAAAGCCTGAGAGTCTCTGGGTTAAGTTTAGAAGCGTGAGCAACAAGGGTGATGTCGTGGTGGGAGTCTGCTATAGACCACCAGAGCAGGGGGATGAGGTGGACAAGGCTTTCTTCCGGCAACTCGCAGAAGCTACTACATCGCACACCCTGGTTCTCATGGGCGACTTCAATCATCTTGATATCTGCTGGGAGAGCAGTACAGTGGTGCACAGACAATCCAGGAAGTTTTTGGAAAATGTAGGGGACAATTTCCTGTTCCAAGTGCTGGAGGAACCAACTAGGGGCGGAGCTCTTCTTGACCTGCTGCTCACAAACTGGGAAGAATTAGTAGGGGAAGCAAAAGTGGATGGGAACCTGGGAGGCAGTGACCATGAGATGGTCGAGTTCAGGATCCTGACACAAGGAAGAAAGGAAAGCAGCAGAATACGGACCCTGGACTTCAGAAAAGCAGACTTTGACTCCCTCCGGGAACTTATGGGCAGGATCCCCTGGGAGAATAACATGAGGGGGAAAGGAGTCCAGGAGAGCTGGCTGTATTTTAAAAAATCCTTATTGTGGTTACAGGGACAAACCATCCCGATGTGTAGAAAGAATAGTAAATATGGCAGGTGACCAGCTTGGCTTAACAGTGAAATCTTTGCTGATCTTAAACACAAAAAAGAGGCTTACAAGAAGTAGAAGATTGGACAAATGACCAGGGATGAGTATAAAAATATTGCTCGGGCATGTAGGAGTGACATCAGGAAGGCTAAATCACACCTGGAGTTGCAGCTAGTGAGAGATGTTAAGAGAAACAAGAAGGGTTTCTTCAGGTATGTTGGCAACAAGAAGAAAGCCAAGGAAAGCGTGGGCCCCCTTACTGAATGACTTACGGAAGACTGAATCAACCTAGTGACAGAGGATGTGGAAAAAGCTAATGTACTCAATGCTTTTTTTGCCTCTGTCTTCACGAACAAGATCAGCTCCCAGACTTCTGCACTGGGCAGCACAGCATGGGGAGGAGGTGGCCAGCCCTCTGTGAAGAAAGAAGTGGTTCGGGACTATTTAGAAAAGCTGGATGTGCACAAGTCCATGGGGCCGGATGTGTTGCATCAGAGAATGCTAAAGGAATTGGTGGATGTGATTGCAGAGCTATTGGCCATTATCTTTGAAAACTCATGGCAATTGGGGGAAGTCCCGGAAGACTGGAAAAAGGCTAACGTAGTGCCAATCTTAAAAAAGGGGAAGAAGGAGGATCCTGGGAACTACAGGCCAGTCAGCCTTACCTCAGTCCCCAGAAAAATCATGGAGCAGGTCCTCAAGGAATCAATTCTGAAGCACTTAGAGGAGAGGAAAGTGATCAGGAACAGTCAGCATGGATTCACCAAGGGAAAATCATGCCTGACTAATCTAATTGCCTTCTATGATTAGATAACTGGTTCTGTGGATGAAGGGAAAGCAGTGGACGTGTTATTCCTTGACTTTAGCAAAGCTTTTGACACGGTCTCCCACAGTATTCTTGTCAGCAAGTTAAAGAAGTATGGGCTGGATGGATGCACTACAAGGTGGGTAGAAAGTTGGCTAGATTGTTGGGCTCAACAGGTAGTGATCAATGGCTCCATGTCTAGTTGGCAGCCAGTATCTAGCGGAGTGCCCCAAGGGTTGGTCGGGCCGGTTTTGTTCAATATCTTCATTAATGATCTGGAGGACGGTGTGGATTGCATCCTCAGCAAGTTTGCGGATGACACTAAACTGGGAGGAGTGGTAGATATGCTGGAGGGTAGGGATAGGATACAGAGGGACCTAGACAAATTGGAGGATTGGGCCAAAAGAAATCTGATGAGGTTCAACAAGGACAAGTGCAGAGTCCTGCACTTAGGATGGAAGAATCCAATGCACTGCTACAGACTAGAGATTGAATGGCTAGGCAGCAGATCTGCAGAGAAGGACCTAGGGGTGACAGTGGACGAGAAGTTGGATATGAGTCAGCAGTGTGCCCTTGTTGCCAAGAAGACCAATGGCATTTTGGGGTGTATAAGTAGAGGCATTGCCAGCAGATCGAGGGACGTGATCGTTCCCCTCTATTAGAGATTGGTGAGGCCTCATCTAGAGTACTGTGTCCAGTTTTGGGCCCCACACCACAAGAAGGATGTGGAGAAATTGGAGAGAGTCCAGCGAAGGGCAACAAAAATGATTAGGGGTCTGGAACACATGACTTATGAGGAGAGGCTGAGGGAACTGGGATTGTTTAGTCTACGGAAGAGAAGAATGAGGGGGGATTTGATAGCTGCTTTTAACTACCTGAAAGGTGGATCCAAAAAGGATGGATCTAGACTATTCTCAGTGATAGCAGATGACAGAACAAGGAGTAATGTTCTCAAGTTGCAGTGGGGGAGATTTAGGTTGGATATTAGGAAAAACTTTTTCACTAGGAGGGTGGTGAAACACTGGAATGCGTTACCTAGGGAGGTGGTGGAATCCCCTTCCTTATAAGTTTTTAAGGTCAGGCTTGACAAAGCCCTGGCTGGGATGATTTACTTGGGATTGGTCCTGCTCTGGGCAGGGGGTTGGACTAGATGACCTCCAGAGGTCCCTTCCAACTCTGATATTCTATGATTCTATGAATGCAGTGGTCATGGAAAATCCAGGCTGAGAGACCCTCTCCATTCTCCTAACTCTCTGTTGCTGCTCACCTGCTGAGCCCCCACCACAAGTGATCTGATGACCTCATGAGATTAGCACCTAATTGTTGATCCACCTTGCTCCTCCTCTTATCCTTAAGTTCTCCCTCTCCTTAAGGGTTTGCTCATTGCAGATTCATCTCTACCATTCCCTTAGCTGTGGCCCATGGAAAATAATAATAAAATAAAGGCCTGTTTTTAATTCCTACCATAGGCTACCAGTGGGGCTCAGTCCTCCAGGGCAAATGCAGTGATGTGAGGTAGCCAGCTTTGCTACATCCACAACTCCACTCTTGGTGCCAGCACAGGAGAAGGAAAAACTATTCCCCTCTCCTAGTTAGTCTCCTGAATGAAGTCATAGTCCAACAACAGGAGGGTCCAACTGTAATGATCTGCCAGGGAATAGTTATCTTTCATCTTGCAATTTCCTGATGTAGTCATCATATTAACCTAGCAAGACACTATGTCTACATACTATGAGGATTAACATACAAGCACTGGAGCAATTATAACCTGTGACAGAAGAAAAGAGATGGTAGGTAACTAGAGTGCTGATGGCAAAAACAGTAGGGGGTTTAGATAGGTTTAGGGAATTGAGTCTGGGAATTCCTACAGTTGTGCAGATTGGCCCTGCAAAGGACTCAGAGGGGGAGGGACTATTTCTCTATCGCTATAGCAGTCACTAAATCATACTTAGCAGAATTATTCTGAACTGCCGTCTGTCTTGTAAACTCATGTTTAAGAGCAGAACATGGCTCAGAGATTACACTAGTTGCACAGTGAAACACTTCTCCTAGCCATGGAAATAACAGTACTCAGACTACTGGATCTCACAGATCACAAAGCTGCATTCAACACATTTGCTCATGAGACACTACTGATTTCAGGGTGAAAGAAATGCTTGCAGCTGGCTCAGATATTTTTTTTCCCCACTGACTAATTTCTAAAGAGCCTAATAGAACTTCAGTCTCCAGCCTCTCCCCTGTGCAGTACCACCAGTTGCTGTATGCTATCCATCCAACACACCTGTAAAGCTGCCAAGAGAATTCATGAGGCAGCACAGATGACACCCAGCTCTACATATGCTTCACCTTAAATGAAAACCACACCATCCTTCAGTTGGCCTAGAGCCTGAGTATATTAGAGCCTGGATGAGAAGCACGTGGCTGAAACTAAGTCTGGGTAAAATGGAGGTGGAAACAGTTTGAGAAAGTAGCCAATACGATGTCCTCATTAGAAATTGAAGTTATCAGCCCCAGATTGTCAATAAGATACACAGCCTTTTATATTCCTGGACTCCTTTTTGCCACTAGTTACTAAGACCATTAGAAACTCCATCATCTGTCTATGATATCATCTCCTAGCTAAAGTGAGATATTAAATCATGGTTTCATGCAACACACAGTTCTTAGGACTGAAAATAGGGCTTCTAAGGCTATGTCTACAATACCGCAGTAAGTCAACCTAAGTTATGCAACTCCAGCTATGTGAATAACATAGCTGGAATCAACGTAGCTTAGATCAATGTACTGTGGTGTCTACACCATGCTGGGTTGACGGGAGACACTCTCCGGTCAACTTACCTTACTCCTCTCGTTCCCTGTGGAGTACCGGGGTCGACCAGAGAGCGCTCTGCCATCAATTTAGCAGGTTTTCACTAGACCTGCTAAATCGACCCCCGATGCATCGATCATCGCAGCATCAATCCCATGTAGCGTATACATAGCCTTAGATGCTCTAGCTTGCTGATAATACAGCAGACCAACACAGGCTAGTGCTATGAGCACTCGACTGGCTCTTCAGTGACTACCAGATCAAAGTCCAACTCATAATATCCAAAGTCCTGAATTGAACAGGACTATATGAACGATTTTCTCTCTTTCTGAGGTGACAACCTGTGATTAATTAGGAATAATGAAATTGTTAGCAACAAGGTTTAGACTCAAAAGAACAGGGGACAAAACTCTGTGTGCCTCGCCCTTGGCTATGGATCTCCTTCCACAAGGATGACTGCAAATGTTAGCATGAAACCTGCCTATTCATTTCATCAGAATGCCAATAATAAAATCCCTCTAAAGCACAGTATATCTTCTTGTAAGCAAAGAGAGAGAATCAAGTGAAATAACTTATTGGCAATACATAATTTTTCTAAGATGCTAAGACACTACTGTGATGGGTTCTGTATGAATGTCTAGATAGTTGGATGAATGAGCAAAAAGTAAACAAGCAGTATAAATTATTTTTTTATTTTGTCCCACACTTTTAATAATCTAAGGCACTATTGGACCAAGTATCACACATAAGGAAAATTTAAAAAACAAAATGCATCTATATCTTGGATAGTGTCCCTTTAAAGTTGAACAGCTGCCTGTGGCACAATCAGATTCAGAGTTTGCTTTATCTGGGTCATTAACATGCAGTATTTCCTGCAAAACACAAAGTATTTTTCCTCTGGCCCAGGTAGATGGTGATACAGGCCCTACAGCCTCATCACACCTTTATTCGCTGTACTTATTTAAATCCAGCTACTATAGCAACTATCAGTAGCAATTTAACTGCTTCATATATTTTTAAAATCTTTTAATTAAATGTGAATACACCTGATACACAGTCATTTATGCAGCAAGTGTAATCATATTTTATGCATTTGAAACTTTTGGATGCCTGCAATACACAAAAAGCACTTTATGAGTACTTGCATTATTGCATATTTCATTATAATTTAATTCTATATTATGCACAGACCAAAAATAGTTTCTGCTCTGTAGCAATGCAAATTTCAATGAATAATCCACAAGGAATTTTAAAGCCTTAACTGTTTGTGACATACACTATTCTGCCTCTCTGGTAAAGAATCAACCATTGAATAAACCTCATCATGCATCTGATACCCACAACAGGCAGGAATCAGGAAACAACTGAAAGGTAAGATACAGCAGTCATTTCCATTAATGCACTGACGCTAAATTAGGGATGACCTGAGAAAAGCAACATTCGTTATGCAATGTTACCTAGTTGTGCAAATTCTGTTCATCGCTTAAGAGCTCAAATTCAGCACCTGGTCAATTTCCTGAACCAGGGCTGTCTTTACTCCTACATAAAGCACAACATTGACTACAATGGATGTACAATTAGGCCCTTAGTAGTTAAGGACTTGATTGTGGCTTTCAGCTACTGGCTGTGTTGGACAGTGGTAATGAGGGCTTGCACTGCAGCCAGAGCCCATGGAGGAATGCCGGCTGAGTCTGCCAAGCTTTCTCCTGAGGCGCTGATGAATAATGAGCAGAGGTAAGATGAGGGATAGAGCAGGCACTCCTACCATATGGGGCCAGGGCTCTGGTATAGAGGAGCAGCAGAATGGGGACCTAGCTCCGCTTGTCACTCTGTTTTGTGGCAGACCTCTGCATAAGAAAGCAAGAGGTAAGGAAGTTCCTTGTTCAAACAGACAGGGTGCATGTCTGGTCCTATAGGACAAATCCTATCTCACCTCTGTGGCCACAGGGACCTCATGGTTCCACTGTATGAGGGGACAGAATGAAGTGCTTGACAATCTGGTTTGGATATGCAGAATATATACATACGCATAATGAGCTTTACAGAACTTTTTTTAATTCTAAACACTAGTAGACAATTTTTTGAGAGCATCCCAAGTTATTTTGGTGTCTCTTGAATCATATAGTTGCTCTGCTTCCTGTTTAATAGAGGAACAAAATCTGGCTAAGGACTCTCTGAAAAGAAAAGAAGTCTCCACACAATGGGTTTTGTTGGCTGATTTTTGTTTTTTGTGCAGTGCAAGCCCTCTTAACTCAAGAGTCCCTAACAGACATTACTGTACACTTGCCTAGATCCCCAGATTTTACAGGGAGCTGGTCTGTATTTTATAACGCCTGGCCTGCTGCTAAATACACACTGTTACTACCTGTTGATTAAGACCTAAGCTACTGTATTTCTACATACTGTATGAAATAAAATTCACTTTTATGAATGTTACTTGTGCCTTTCAATAAATTCAATTGAAGCATGGCAATCGTCATTTGTTACCCTATCACACTGAATATAGTAGTAGTTCAAGTGGTAGAAATCCAAAATCTGTTTTGTAGATATTCTAATAGCAGCTGATTTGTAGATCATGTTTCTCTTGTGAAATTGCTTATGTATATCTGCTGTATTTCACTCATCAATGCTATCACCAAGTGATGTGCAAGCAGTAACGACTGAGGCTAGGAAAATACAAATATTTAGATCACATCTGTATATATAAAAACGTAAAGTGTAAATTTATATGACAAACCATGCCACCAGTATTTTAGTGAGTGTCTGTCTGGGCATAGCTCATCACTGGCAATGGGATGAAAAAACAATTAACACTAGTTCCTAAAGAGCTGAAATACACAGATAGGGCCAAGTTCATTCTGTGGTGTAATACCATTTACTTCAGGGATGAATTTGGCCAAATTAGTCGCAGAAAAGTCTGCCTAATGTCACTATTTATGACAATTAAAATTGCAGCTGTATTTAACAATAACAATAACAAAATACTGATTAAAACTTGTGAGATGAAGTTTCAGCCTCAGGATAAATGTTTTGATCCACTATTTTAAAATAATCAAACAAACAAGAACCTTATCCATTTAAAATTAATCAGTGTTAAAACAAAATCTCTTTATTTTTGTTAATTCCTTTTTGTACTTGTACAACTAAAAAAAACCCCACTATTTATTTTAAAGTCCTGCAATATGGCAAGAAATTAGATCAGAAAAAGCTCTATTTGCTTTTAGTATTTTGATGACAACAAGCCCCACAAATTTCTAATCAGCACAGATTATGATGTTCAAAAATCAGTCAGCACCTGGCCAGGAGCTTTAAAGAATGTTTCTTGAGAGCAATTTTAGCATGCACACCACGTGTTCCCAAAACATATTTACACGAAAAAACACAAAGTTTCAAGAGGAGTTATCTGCTCTACTGCATAAATAATACACCCTTTAGAATGATTTATAAATACATATTTAACAGCTTAGCTCTTCCTTTCCATCAGGCATAACACTAATCTTAAAACAAGATGACCATAAACTCACCAGACCAGGATAGCTATTTCATTCTTTCATGCGATATGCATAGCCTAACCTTCCATGTAAATGTTGTTTGCTCTTAGCAAAGTGATTCCAGGATTCTGAATACATAAAATTCAGTTATTATCTTCTTTTTAAAACAAACATCTATTATGCAAGGACATTTTACAATCTATTATTTTCCTGCCCCGCCCTCCCTTCACTAGCAAACCAATTATGATCTAGGGAAAACTTGTAAATGTCCTACTTCCCACATCCCTAGGATAAGTAAAGGTTCCACCTTACCAGCTTCTCCTCCACTGCTAAACTATAGGAGTGGATCCCCCGTTTTTAAAGGGAGGAAGATTGAGCTCCTTGTCTGGAAACTGAGGGACTCATACTGGCCCACTCTGGGCTGATGACCAAACCCACAAACTAATAATTTATTCCTATTCTCATCCAGTAATGAGAGAACACAGACTACTAGGTTTTGTGATATTGATGCTGCTATCAAGTAACAGTACACGTGTGTTATTGCAACTGTAGTTAATGCAATTTTCTTTGTGTCTTTTACCATCTAATATGTGACATAAGCTTGTGCTCTTTATGTTTTACGCTGTCAGTGACTTCAAAGGGCTTTGCATCTGGCAGTTAGAGTGTGCTGTGGGATGCTTTGATTCAACAATTTCTAAGAAGTGATAAATCATTAACATGTCCTTTGGCATTCTTGATAATAACCTTAATCTTGCTGAATTTCTTTACACTCGCATTCTTCTATAAGAATTCCACTATAATTTAGCATTAATAATTAAGTCCTTATTAGGAACCATTACCCAACGCCTTACTTAGGTAGTTGTGTAATTAGCAATATCACATGGTGACAACTGCAGCTATAAAAAAAAAGTGCCATCTGCAAATGGTACTAGATATACAAAATATGCTGCATGCAAAGAGAAGCATTTTAAAATGTGCTAACTGAAGAGAACAGAGTGAAAGATAAACGTGCCGAGGAATTCTCAAACACTGTAGACATAACATTAGGTAACTTCTTGCACATGCAGTGCTGTAAATGAAATAATGAGACTTGCAAGAGATTCTGAGGCATGGCTGATTAAGTCCATGTTATAAGCTTTCAGTATTGCTGTATCATACTTAAGTCTCCTGGGTGCTGTTAAGTATTGTAAGCCAACAAACTATAATTTCATGCTTGAGTGGACCAATACAAGCCTAGGCTGCTGCTTCTTTGTCTGTACAAACTGTACTATGCCCCCAATAGTACAGTGAAAAGAAAAAATAAATAAATAATACAAAGCACATGGGATGAAAACTTTGTTTCACATACCTAGAGTAAATGCTTGTCAGTAAATTCAGATGCCATCTGGATTACAGCCTCATCGATTGCCCATTGAAATCAATGGAAAGACTCCTGGATCAGCACCTTAAACTTCTTTATTTTGACTGCTATATCTACTGGAAACTGATGGAGAGCTGTACTGGGACTAAAAGGGAGAACTGGCAAGTATTTTGCTTTTTCTAAAGTGCCAATAATTTTAAATGTAGTAATTTTTCTTGTTGCCTTTTTCTCCATACAAGAACATTTAGCACTGGGCCAATATAATTAATGTATCAGCTCTGTAGAAAACATGTCTGTGAGAAGAATGGAGTGTGCTTTATACAGTCTTGTTACTGTAGGTGCCGAATCTCTCTTCTGCTTTAAATTTTAACTCTGTCCAAATGCAACATGCTACCATTGTGAATGGTGGCTTAAAACCACACAGCAATGTGAAAAGAAAAAGAAAATCAGAATCAGTGAGGGCCTGATTCTGCCAGGTGTGGAGTACCTCCTGTCAAGTGGTGTGTGCCCTTATTAGGAGCTGAGAGCAGCCATCACTCTGATCAATAACTTTCAGGATTGGGCCCCGAGTAAACCATCAGTGTGAGGTGTGGTTGGAATTTCTCAGCTCTGATATATCGCATAGAGGTTTTAAAACTGTGCAGACCATAAGTGGTTCACAAAGAACTTGGTGGTGGCCTAAAAAGAATGCCTTAATTCCAGCTGCTAAAACATGCTAAATGAAATTACAATTAGAACTGGTCAGAAATTTCCAGATGGAAGGTTTTGCTGTTGGAAAATGTGGATTTGTTGATATTGAAACAGTCCATGGTTACGTGTTAGTTCAGAGAAAATTCCAGCAGAAACCAGGCAAGGTCTCATTGGGACAACCTGGCCTGGTATCCTGCCAGTTCACCAGATGGAGTGCTGGGGAGTCCTGGCTCCCAGGTGGGCTGTCAGGAGTCCAGCTCCCAGAACTTCCAGTCTCCTGGTTCCTTGGAAATGCAGGCTCCCAGGGCCTCCGCAGCCTGGGAACCAAGGCTCCCTGGCTCCTCAAGCTGCCCAGCTCCTCTCCTGGGTAGCCTTGACAATTCTTCAAAGTGAAATTTCTATTTTAAAACAAAATTTTGGAATTCCCATTCTGTATGAAATTTTGAAATGTCATTTTTTGTTGTTTCTGTAGAATTTGTTTGGAAATTTTGGAATTTCCTGCAAAATGGCAATTCTGGTTGCTAGTCAGTTCTAATTAAAATATATTATATGCTTCCCTGATATTACTATAGTTACCACAAGAATGTTATGAAGCTGCTTATAGGAGAAGGTGGATCACACAGTTGTGATCTGAAGGGAAGGAGCCCATGAGACAACTGCTGTATTCAGAAGTGGTCCTTGTTTGAGAACACCTTATATAGCACCAATAGAAGATGCTCTAGCTCATGGGAATCATGTTGTTAAATAAAAATTCTAACTATTTGACATCATATTGTCTACTGCAGATTGTGGGTCAAATTCTGCCTTCAGTTACCAATGTGCAACTCCCTCTGAAATCAGTGGACATCCACAAGGATTTGAGGATAGTATTTGACCATACCTGTCTCTTTAAGACGATAGAAAAAGTTCAATAAATAACTTTAAAAGCTTATGTATTTTCTGACTCTACTGTGAATCTCTTTTGAATACAAAAGCATGCCCAGATTTTAAGAATCCAATAATGATGACTCAATTGTCCTTTGCCACCTGTCCCATGTCTGCAACACTCATTGTTTACTTTGAACATTGATTTTCTTAAAATCCAATAAAGTTTTCCCCGTATGTCCCTTTATTTATTCTTTCAAAGGCAGCAGCACTGCACACTACTATGAAGACTTTAGAGTTCAAGAAATTCACTATAATGGCTTTGCTAGTAGCAATGTAAAAGTCTTCAGTCTGACATCCCCTGCTTCAAGAATAACTTAATTTTGGTGGTATTTCATATAACCATAAAAGGATAGAAATTAGAGATGGAGCAGATCTAGTCTCTTCTCTTGCCAATGCAGGTTTGTTCTCTAACATATTTTTTGCTATTTTAGTCAGTCCTGTTTTAAACGTACAAAACAATTGGGCTTCCAGTTTGCCATGGGAGAACATTCCACAATTTATTAAATCTTTCTGTTAGGGGTGAGAGACTGACAGTAAGTCTGAATTTTTACTTTTTTTAACTTCATCTCATTACTTCTAGTTATATCCTCTTGTTCTAGTCTAATCACTCCTCTCCTTCTTTGATTGGGAAAGCCTTCACTTTTTTATAGACTATTATGTCCTCCATTAGTTTTCATGAAATCACTAATTTTTAATCTGTCCTTTTAAATTTGTCACCACAATACCCTAATATTTTTTTCTTGTGTTTCTATGAACTTTCTTCACATTGGCAGTATCTTTCTGAGAATGAAACTCCCAAATTTCTTTTGTGATAAAGATGTTTACTCTTAATATTTTTCCAAAGGTGATTTTTTTAGTTTGAACAAAATCTATTTATCTGTTTCTGTATGTTGAAGATTTTTCTTTTTTGGCCATATGTCAGTAGCTGATCTGACTATGCTAGGCTTCATTCATGAATGTGGCATTCTAAATGTAGGGAAGTGGCTTGAACCAAACTGAAAAAGTTTCATGGTGTAATTAGGAATTGGTGAATTTTATTGGAGGCAGGACCTGGGCGGCTCTTCTAGCAATATTTCCTGGCTGAGCAAAAGTAGGAAGTACCAGAAGCCCTCAAGAAATCTCTCTCTCCTGGGATTTCCAGTTTAAGTTTGCATACCCAAAAGGTTTAGATAAATATTCAAAATTTATAATAGTTATGTGACCCTCTGAAAGTTTTGTTACTTCCTCCATTGTTGGTACTGTGACTATTACAAGAGCCAGAGGCTGCCAATGGATTTTCTGGCGGAGGGTGGGAAAGTCTTCTTTGGCACAGATAACATCAGATCATTTATAGTACTGCCCTCTCTAATATTAACTATCAAAGGTTAGGTTTTCAAAAAATCCTAAGTCATTTTGACTGGGCATTATGTGTAACATGTCTATGCCTATCCCAAAATATCACCTATTTCCACAGATTCAAGGAACTGAGAATGAATTCTAGATATCTTTACTAAATATTTTGTCTAATCAGTGGTGGTTTTGTGCTCAGATTTTTGTGGCTCTCCGTCCCTATTCAAGTACCTGGACAAAGGCCAGTCACTATAGAAAATGCACCAAATGTTACGGTGCAGGCACCAAAGACTTAATCTACTTTCTATCCATTGTACCCTGCAACCCAGCAGGGAATTCATCCGGAAATGTCAGCAACCCTCAGATTCTCAATAATGGCAAACTAATCATAATAAAAACACCACCATCTTCAGTTGGAACACTAATACTGTTCATGCTCCTTACCTCTGCTTCCTTGTTTGCTAAGACTTTACAGTAAAGAGAGACAGACCTACAAGGAAGTAAGAATGATGGTTAGTTTGGACATCCAGAGAAGGAGAGAATGACCTTGACTCTAATGGCTTTTTTGAAGTCATGCTATTCTTCTCCATCCCTGCCTCCCCCGCATCCACCCTTTTTTCTAATTCTTACTATTACAGTGACTAGATAGTTGCAGGTTTTGGTAGCACTGAGAAGTCTTCTTGCAGCTTCCTCTTTGGGGTGCATTTGTATCTGTGAGGTGGTTATTAAGATATGGGGGGCGGGAGTTGGAGTTTTTATTGAGAAACTAACAGATGAGAAATCAAAATGAATTTTCTATATGCAACACACAGACAAACCAGAACAACTATATTAAGAAATACTGGTTTTAAACTATAAAGATAGAAAACACCCAGGGATAATACATTTAAACATGCCCTGTTGTCTCCTTATATCTACTATATTGATATGAGTGAAATGCTAGTATGGTCGGACACAGTATGACCGATGAAGAGCTACTGAATTTTTGGGCATGCTTTCCAAGCAATAACTGTGTACACTGCAATAGTAATATTACAGGGGACACACAATCTTATCTACATGAATCTTTCTTATGCTTTAAATTCTGACTCAGTCTGCAGACTGAAAACAAAGTTTAAAATAAATAATGTCCTCAGTTTTCATACATCACACTGAGGACAAACTAATTTGAAAAAACTTGTTATGCAGGAGAAACACCTTGACAGTTAAAAGTATGTCTCTTACAATGAAATACTGTTCCTCTCTCTTGTCTATGAGAATATCAGGATGTAAACAGATGAGAACTGACATGTGAGCAATTTTGTAAATGAGAATTCATCAACTTCATATTCAATGGAGAATTGTTTAAAAATTGTTTATCCCAAGTTTCCTTTTCCCAAATGGTGGACAAACAGAGGTCACTTATTATTCATGTTAATTATTGTTAAGCCATGATTTTAATTTATTAAGTTAATTTGCAGGATCTCTACAGTCTTGTGTCCTTGAAAAGGTCCAGGAGATGGCCCCAAATCTGATGTACTGATTCTCTACACAACAACAGAGAACACTGAGTTTTCACTGTCAGCTTTTTAATTCAGATTGCATGTCCACAAAGAGGTTGTTTGAATGAATTCTGAAGCAAGTTCAGAGCAATTGCAATTGTTGCTATTATTACTATTGTTTCTGGGGGTCCTATGGAACCCAAAAGCTGACTCTGTAGATCCTGTATATGAGAAAGCTCTATGATATACTTGGCCACTGCAACTGCTTAATAGTTAAGGGGCCCTTACTCCTTGGTGATGACCACATAAAGCTTCACACAGCTGCTCTCCTTTTTCCTAGGGACAGTGCCTCCCTGACATCCATACAGAGGATGAGTTCTTTCTCGGTTGGTTGACAGCCAGCTAACGAGAAGAGTGAAAATGGCTGACCATTCCAAAGACTATCTCATAGCTAGCAGCTCACTTACAGAGTTGGAACTGCTAACAAAGAAAGAAGAGGTGTTCCTCAACCCAAGGAGCTATCACTCTGAAAAGTAATCACAGCAGTTATGGAGAGAAGGAGAAGGAAGCCCCACACTAATGGTGGCAGGAGCTCCCACTCAACCTCAGCTACAGTGACTGGCCCTGGGAGAGGTCCCTCTCCTTTCCTACACCCTGCACCATTCAAGCTAAGAGAACAGACCATGTCTCTCTTGTTCCTACAGGGCTTCACAGTCCTACGGCTATTGTAACTTTCAGTCTTTCTATGGCTCCAGAATGAGGGAGCGGGATGGAACAAGAATACTCAGTGGTGCTGCTCGAAGAGGCAAGGAACTAATTTACATGAGCTCCACGAGCAGCCAGCTGTCAGTTCTCTTTGCCAAGATCCAGCCAAACAGTGGGTGAGTGTTCCACTTTCACCTTGTACAACAGGCCAACCCAGTCTCTGAATACATCAGTCCACTGCGTGACTACCGCAAGCAGACTTCTGGGGCTTAAAGAGCTCCAATGGCCAGATTTCTTTTCAGCTGAATAGGTCCCTAAGTCAGTAACAAACTAATTCACCAGAATGATGTTATGTAGCAGTTTGCAGCTTTAAGTGCCATCTGCAAGGAGAGCTGAAGGCAAAATCCTGACCACTTGGGGTAATTAAAGATCTTCAGAAGTCTTTTTGCTTAAGCAGAGGTGTTGGACCTCATATCCTGGTTTTCAGCCTGCCTGAAATTTTCTGTCTATCCATGTTTCTTATACTACACCCACCACTGATATATGAGTACCTGAAACTTGTGTCAGCTGCATCTGGGTAAAGGGTTCTTTGCTTCTTTCCCTTAATTCCAACTTGCATGGCTGTGAAGTTGTCAGCTAGGTCAGTGGTGAGAGTGAGAGGATTATCTTTTAGTCCAGGTCACCATCACCCACTTGTTAAATTTTCAAACAAGCATCTTCATGCTTTCTTCCATGCTGCCCTTCATGCCTGAGATTTGCTTCATGGAAGCATCTGAAAAGCTACCTCCTTCGTCTTCAAATCCCTCCTTCAAACTCCTCTTTGCCATGATGCCTACAAAAAACTTGACAATGGTTAGGCTGCTTATGAACTCAGACCAGTACCAATCACGCTGACCAATATTGGTTCATTGTTTCCTTTTACTCCCTTGTCAGTCTATATTCAGTTGTCTCTTGTTTTATACTCCATTGGTAAGCTCTCTGGGGTAGGGGCCATCTGTTTCTGTGTTTGTACAGTACCTAGCTCAATGGGTTCCTGGTCCCTGACTGAGGCTCCTAGGTACTACTGAAATTCAAACAATAAAATAATAATAAAGCAGTCTGGTGTCCTTCAGATTAAAAAGGTGCTGCATAAGTGAAAGATATCACCACTATCTAACTAAAAATGTTAGTAACTAGGAAAGCCCTCAATTTCCATTCAGAAGGAGAAAATTATATACACATGACATTGCAATAGTAATTCCCCATCTCTTTCTAAGGCATCTGTTTCTGGCATGACAATGACAAGTCATCATATAGGGAAGGTTCAGCTGAAGATCATGAGATGATGAAATTCCCTTTGACTGTCAGTTCTTCCTCCTTTGGAATGCATAATATTGCTTTTGGTAAGCAAAAGAAAAGTTGTTCTGTGTTCTCACAATCAGACTTCTAATGACTTCCTATGAAGTAAAATGTACCTTTAGCCCATATACAAGCCATAGGGAGGGATAAAAAAGAAAACAGTCTACTAAATTAAACAGAGTAAACTTTGAAAGCCTTTAAAATCAATGCAATTCCTCTTAGTTGATTCAAGGGGAGAGGGAAGACTATAAATATCTTTCCTTTAGACTCTGAAAGGAATACATCAGAATGGTGAATAATTTCAGAAATACTCAGGTAAGCTTTTCCATGAAAAGTTGATTTATTCAATCACAGTGCTCCTATATCTATTCCTGAACACAGCTTCCTTTGGCCTAATAGGGAATTTGGCCCCTCAAATTCAACAGATATCTGTAAAGGAAGAGAGAGTGGCTCCTCCTCCTTCAATGCAGTATGTGTAAAAGGAACTCAGAAACAGAAGGAACTTAAACCAGGCCCTGAAAGGAATTTATGACTAACTTCCATTGAAATCATTAGAGTTATCTCAAGGAAGAGATGGGCCTATCATTGTATCACCACAATCCCAGCATTCCCTGCTCCACCAACACACATCATCTCAGGCTCTTGCATATATTTTGTAATTATCTTCCTGTTGCAAATGCTCACTTGTCGCTTCCCCTCCACGACACTAGAGGCAGGAATAGCGGCTGCTCTGCTCTCTGTTGTCCAATGTGGGAATGCCACATCAGGTTCAGCCTCATCCCTACACCTTTGGCAGGAAACAATCAGTCAGTCCTGGTTGTAGGCTGAGCCTGAGAAGAAGCCCATTACACACAGTGTTTATTAAGTAATAAAAACAAACTTATTATGCATCCCTTGCCTTTGGTCTTCCTCCTCTTTCCCTTTTTATTGGTTTCACTCCATTTCTTCTATGGAGTCTCAGTGCATCTTTTCCTCTGCCTTGCAGTATGTGTTGTTCCTCAGTCTAACTTTTAATGTGTTATGTTGAAGAGAGAGCTCATCCATTAAAAGTACAGAGTCAGCATTGTATTAATATATTAACATGTATTATGTTCTCTCTCTTTTCTTCCCCTTTAAAATACTCCATTCTTCCCCCTCAACCATTCCTTCATCTTCACCATCACTGTGTCCTACTCATTATGTATTGGGTTACAGACAGTGAGAAGCCAGTAGTCTTCTTTCAGAATGATGCCACAGAATGGGTAGTGAGGGCCATTGTGGGCATAGCAAGAGCAAAATGACCTAAGTTGGGGAAATGGCAGTTACCCAAACACAAAAAAAGAGAAGGAAATTTTAGTGGACAAAGAATCTGCTACAAGATTGTTTAACCCAAATTGGTTGGTTAAGTTGTATGTATCCCCAATAGTAATTGAAAAACAGGGGAAGGTTCTTTGTAAGTCACTACTCTAAAATGTTATCATTCTTTGGGCTAGATTGTGACTTGCACTATATACCTCCGTAGTGGGGAAAGAAGTCCCTTTCACTGCTACACAAGCTACCGAGACCTGAAGTAAGTGGATGCAGCATGCCTGCATACTACCTCTCTGAAGCAAGTGGTTGAGAAGGGGTGGGGAATGGGTGGAGCCTGTGGTAGTGGGGGAGCTGATGTGGGTACAAGATAGCAGGAGATTACTATCACCCTGGAGCAAGAAGAGACAAGGATGGTTCCTTGAGTCACAGTTCCTTTCCTGGTATGCTCGTGCAGTGAACACCTTCACTCCAACCTTTCTGTGGGCCGAGTCCTCATGTGCTAATGACCCAAAATGGAAAGAATCAAAAATTCCACTTGCACTTTTATTTTTTAGTTAAATTTCACTATATTCAATACAAATACACTGGCTGCCCTTGAAGGAAACTGAAACAACCATACTATACTGTGTACATCACAGTGCTGGGACATTAATTCTATTACCTCAATAAATATTCTTGAAATATTTAGTATTTCCTCCACACACACTTTTCTTTCCCATCAGCTTTTAGTATTATATTACAGCTTAAAATGGTGATACACTCCAAGCTATAAAAACATGAACACAGAGACAGACATTTAGCCACATTAACATACCAAATGTTTTATCGTGTTCTGTACTTACCGCAACATTGAAATGAAAAACTCAATGGGAGTATCCAGATTCTCACATTATTTCTTCTTAATTTTCACTGTTCTGATGTTAATGTTCCTTCATCTTAGTGTTAGAGAGAGATGTATTTTTCTTAGATATCTAGGACTAGATCCAATGCCAATTAAAGCAAATGAAAAGACCCGTATTGATTCGAACTAGCTTTGGATTAGGCCTCCAGTGGCTGAATTTACAATGTTGTCCCTAAAACATTCTCTAAGTCAATGTAGGAAATCTTTTAGAATGACAGCAAGAAATAAGGCAACCTTTGATTGCTGCAATTGTGCCTCTTTGCACAAAATAAACAGACATTAGGGATGTTATTACCAGTGTTGGTGCCTTAGAGCAAATGTCAGGCCACAGAAATGTCACAGGCATGGACTCTTCCTAACTGTGTAACCAGATAGATGATTACTTTTCAGCACCTTTTCTTTGAAGGCTTTATCATAATCTATTGTGCAATCCTGTACTAAGTATAAATACTGCACTACATGACAATTGTATTAATTTCATCTTTTAAATTCAGCAGCACAACTTCATAACATTGCTAAGAGAAGGACACAGATATTGAAGAAAAGTTTGCTTGGATAATTTGTCTCTCTCTAAGGAATAGGAACATATTTGAGAAGCAGAATAGTGACTCACACTGCAGAAAAGCTCAGAACTGTCAGTCCAAACATTAGTGGGTTGAACCATCCTTCTCCATAGGGATTTGAACATAAGTCTTCAGCATAAATAAAGCGTAAAAGTCATATTTTTTAAAATGAAAATACACCTGTAGGATAATGGCAGGGCTGCAGTATTGGAAAATGAGAACACTGGAGAAAGATTATTACCAGACAAGAAGACAGATTGCTACTTAAGATGTAAATTTGCTTTCGTTTTGAGAATCTCTTCAAAAATCACTTAGAAATTTAATGTTTTCTTGAAATAAAAACACCTTGGAAGTCAAACTTTCTAAACTGAGCAGGAAGAAAGGGCTATTGTCCTGAATTGGAGATCTACATGGTTTCTTCCTTTGGGATTTCTATATTATGCAGGGGATCCCCAAAAAGATAATGGTGAAGGGGCTTGCTCTGCCACTTCACAGCAACCTGGATCATGGATTCAGCTAACCCCTCTCCTCTCCCACTATTTTTTCCTTCTGTTTCTCTCCACTATTCCCTTCCTTTTTTCACTGACCTTGTCCTTGTTTCTCCTAAAGTCCACCTTTCCCCAACCCTTTACTTCCCTTTGGTCTATCTTCTGCTCTTTTTACATTGGTTCTTGCTTTCTTCCCCTTCTATCCCCACCCTATTTCCCCTTTATTTTGTCTTCCTAGCTCCCTCTTTATTTTCCTTTCCTTCTCTCGTTCACTCATCCCTCTTCACTTTCCTTTCTTTTCCCATTCTCTCTCCCTTTTTCTTAACCATCTCCTTTTCTGCCTGGTTCTCCCCTTCCTACTGATATACAGGCTCTTCTTTCTGAAGGAGTGGGATCAGTGTATATCTAAAGCAAGCAATGATGGCATTCAGTATTATTTTTTACACACATTCTTCCCCTTTGTAGTGCATTGCGCATGCCATTTTCCACTCTGCTTGGAAAGTATAAAACTGTGAACTTAAGCCTGTTCTAGTGAAACATTTTAATTCTAACTTCTTGGTCCTTAGAACTGCCTGGATAGATAAACTAGGGGCCATATATTTATATTTCTTACCAAAAGAGATTTCTTACCAAATTGTCTTGCCTATTGGAAGACTTTTTGAGGGATAATGTCACTGGAGTTCTAATAAGAAGCTGCATTGCTATGGAGTAACCTTTTATCAGTTGTAATATGTTCTCATAGAATCATAGAATATCAGGGTTGGAAGGGACCCCAGAAGGTCATCTAGTCCAACCCCCTGCTCGAAGCAGGACCAATTCCCAGTTAAATCATCCCAGCCAGGGCTTTGTCAAGCCTGACCTTAAAAACCTCTAAGGAAGGAGATTCTACCACCTCCCTAGGTAACGCATTCCAGTGTTTCACCACCCTCATAGTGAAAAAGTTTTTCCTAATATCCAATCTAAACCTCCCCCCCTGCAACTTGAGACCATTACTCCTCGTTCTGTCATCTGCTACCATTGAGAACAGTCTAGAGCCATCCTCTTTGGAACCCCCTTTCAGGTAGTTGAAAGCAGCTATCAAATCCCCCCTCATTCTTCTCTTCTGCAGACTAAACAATCCCAGCTCCCTCAGCCGCTCCTCATAAGTCATCCAAGTTTGCTTGTGCTCAGAAAAACATACAAGAAATTTATGGCATGAGTGTTGCTCTGTGCTCCAGTATGGTGCAGCATGATGGAACTGCAGGAGTTTGGCTAGGCAGCACTGAGGTGGTGTTGCCAAATTAGTGCCTGATCCTGTATCCATGGAAGTCAACAGAATGACTCCTGTTATCTTCACTGCATTGATACCTGCTCTGTAACATTGATTCTCCACTGTCTTGCTTCACGAGGTCTCACTGAGACGTGTGCAAAGTGCATGTAAAACGGATACGAAACGAGCATGATAGCCTGTTACAGCCAATTTACACAGGTGTTGGTGAGGATACAAGATACATGGCTGTGGAGAATCTGGCTCTGTGGGCTCCAGTGTGGCTTTTAGAAGCAGCCTGTGTGGAGGCAAGGTGGCCCTGCTCTGCCCCACCAGGTGCACCAGCAACCATTGTTTCTCCAGAAGGCTCAGTGCTTCAGGGAGCCCCCCCAGTACCCAGAGGATGTGCCCACTGCTCCCTCTCCCCCCCCACATGGGGTGTGGAATATACACCTCTGGATGCCTGTTGGGGAGGTATGACCAGGGCCAATGCATCATCCCTTCTGCACCTTCTCTTTCGTGGCTATTGAACCAAGATGTACAAGCAGACAGTAGCCTCTGTGCCCAGGGGACGGTGATTGTAGCTGGATCTTGTGCAGGAAGACTCAAGGGAGACTTCATGGGCCCTTGCTCATTTGCATGTGGGCCATCCACAATCAGGCTTCATATGGTCTTAAATGTCTCACTTTCCTGACCAGTGAATTGACTCCCAAGCTGGAACAACATTGTAACTGGCTTGTTCCTGCACACGTTTTATATCCCAGATTTAGACAAGATTAATTTATTTTAATACATTGATGAAACTTTGATGTGGGCAAGTGTTCCCAGCCTGATTCGCTCTCCCTCCCTATCACCTCATTTAGGAATATGCTACAACTGGACTTGCATATTTCAATATTGTATTTGAAATCCCATTCATTATTTCTTCTCCTTACACTGGCTGTGATTTCATTTCAATTTTTTTTTTTTAAAGAGTGATATTTGGACTCTGATTCGGATCACATTGGAAATGCTTAATGAAGCTAATGTCCATGGTTTACAAAAATAAAAGGATACTTATGATCAAACCCATACCATATTCTGAACAGCCACGCACTCTCAGCCTTGGTTGTGTTCTTATCTGCAGTAGTCGCTCTCTGCAAAATAAATACATATATAAAATCAAAAGAGTTTTTGAAACATAAATAAAACAAAGTTTTGATATTAAAAATACTTGTCAAACCAAATTACATTTACCTGCATTTTTTTTATTAAAAAAACCCAACCCTCTTTGGCCCAGATTTCATCTCAGTATGTGAATCTGTTCATGGACAAATTAGATCATCAGCACATTTCTCTTTGCTGTGCTGGTACTCGAGTGGAATAATTCAGCATTTACATTTATTAACGATTCCAATTTTATTAAGCAGCTGAGAAGCACTATATTCTGAGATCAATAAAAATGATATTTCTGTTAAATTGCTGTAGTGAGATTATTTCAGTTTACTCCTGTCAAGTTCAGATGGTATTTGTTTATGGCTTACAAAAAGGTCATTCCAAAGGGAGCGTAATATTCTAATAATTATGACACTAGTTTCCTTTCTATTTTTCCTCTTTGCTTTATAAGAAAAACAAACAAAAATGTACACAAAAACTATACCACCACTGGGGACTACAGGTAGTTTTCAGTATTTTCCTGCACTGATTCCAAACATTGGTCCCCATTCTGTGACCATTCTGACTTCAGCTGGGTTCTGCATGGGCACAGGGGTCTGCCTCCCTCAGAACAGCTTGCAGAATCATGGTCACAGTCTGGAATTATATGTTTGCAACCTCCTCATATACTAGATGGGTAATTAGTTACGCTCTGGGTGTTATGTGAAAAATAGCATAAGAATTAACAACAGCGTGGGAATAGAAACAGGAATGGGCATTCCAAATAGCACACTCCATTACAATTTTATTCCTCTTTGGCTTTAAGTTTGAGGTATGTATTTTTTTTTAAAAGCTTCATTCTCCATGGAATGCTTAATGGGAAAATTTTACTTTGCATTTTTCAGTTCAATTGGTCTCATTATTTCTCCATTTTAAGCTAATAATACAAACATTCTTGTCCCTTATACACACCATGATGCAGGTAAGGTTCATAATAATAGGGCTGCCCACTGCTAAGGCCTGATCCAAACCCTACAGAAAGGAATCTTTACATTGATTTAATTGGGCTTTGGATAATACCCTATAAGGTATGGCTACTCTGCAGCTGGGAGCAAGTCTCTCAACGCAAGTAGACAGACTTGCGCTAGCAGGGCTTGAGCGAACACACTAAAAATAGCAATGTGGATGTTCTAGCTTTGGTGGAAGCTTGAGTTTGACTCCCGAGGTTTCATATCAGCAAAACTCCCAATGAGGTCAGTGGTAGTTTTGTCAACACTAGAATTGCAGGATTGAGCACGATAAACTTACACCTGTAGCACATGGACCAAATATTATTCCTGGGAGCTGATTCAGCTCCATTGAGTTGAGTGGAAGGATTCAGTTTTAACTTGTGTGGCTTCCTCTCATGCCATAAAATCCTTTTGGTATAGGGAGGTCTCATAGACAATGATGATGGCCTGGGGAATTCATGGTAGCCCAGATCCTGCAGGAACGATACCATCAAGGGATGGCGGAGAGGCAGCAGGGGCTGTGGATGCTTCTGGCCTCTGGCAGCTCCTCAGGGATCTGCAGGTTTAAAGTCTGAACCTACAGCTTATCCTGCAGGGCTGGCTAGTGGCAGTGGGGGGCACACTATGCCAGCAGTCTGATGGAAAAATAAGAGGATCTCTGTGAACTGATTTCAGAGTAACAGCCGTGTTAGTCTGTATTCGCAAAAAGAAAAGGAGTACTTGTGGCACCTTAGAGACTAACCAATTTATTTGAGCATGAGCTTTCGTGAGCTACAGCCGATGAAGTGAGCTGTAGCTCACGAAAGCTCATGCTCAAATAAATTGGTTAGTCTTTAAGGTGCCACAAGTACTCCTTTTCTTTCTGTGAACTGAAATTGGCATTACTTCCAGCCCCTACACAGGAATAACCTATTTATTTTCAAAAAGTCACTTGCAGTTTCCCAGCAGGCCTGCATGAGAGGCTAGTAGGAAGAATGAAAGTGTAAAGACACTTTCCTTCCCAGGAGCTAAAGAAATAATAGACAGTTAAACACATCTCTTTTTACTGAACTTTAGTTTAGTGAGTGAGCTATTCTAGCTATACAGTAAGCTGCTTGAACTTCCCATGAGACCTATAACACGCCTACAGCATTCTTCAAAAATATTTCCAGAAAATACATTCTTTTGTGTAGCCTCTGTGGAGATGCACCTAATGGGATAGCGGAGAGACAAATCAGCTGAATAAAAGCTTTTATCAACCATCTTGGTTTTGTGAGGAAATTAATTAGATCCTTGTTAAAAAAAACCTGCAAGAAAAAGCTTTGTCTTTTTTGTAGCAGACTGGTCTTGCAACTCAGCTTAATGACTATTTATCCTTCACGCCTGGTCATCAGAATTAGCTTTTTGTGTTTATATTCAAATTGTGTAGGATATGCAGTGGACTGACTGCATTCATTTATTTCTACACATTATTGATGGCCTTTCAGAACTGAGTTATGAAAGCCCATCAATAAATGAGTGGAAATAAATGAGCTAACCTATTGTACGTTCTGTTTATGCAAGACGGTTTGATGATAAATGCACCTGAGAAAAGACAGAACTAGGGAAGTAAAAAAGAAACTGATGGGGAGACCCCTAATGTGGATGGTGTACAGATCAGGGCTCTGTGAAGTCCAGGTGGGGATTATAGACACAATCTGCCAAGAGCTGCTATTTTGAAACACAGCTTCCTGTATCTCCTCCTGACAGCGAACGTGATAAGCCACAAAGGGAGTATCTGACCAGGATGAACTTGGGGTTATTTTTCTCCTTATGGACAATGAGATTTTCTTAAGCTTCAGAAATTGGATCACTCTTCTTGCCCCAGGGGGAAATATGCATCACTGTTAAGAAAAGCTAGTGATCTGTGGGGAATATTTAATTAGTGTGGCTCCAGCATGCAACAGTAATGCAGTAAGTCTACTCAGCCCGTGATTCTGGTGGTCTTGAATCTAAAATTTGTGTGCCCTACTGTCCTGGGTTCAATAGTAATGTCTGTCTTTCCCAATAACTACACTAATATCCTCAGCAAATAATTACTCTTCCCACTACCACGTCCAGGATATAACATGCCTTCTATCTACTGGAAGATACAATAAAATGGGCTTGTTCTAGAAGTAGGATTATAGTAAAATGTTTCTCCAGAGTCAGGACAGGCTCATCATTAGCAGCATGGTTTCTGAGCTTGGAGGAGCATAGTGCTTATCTGAACCCAGAAAGTAACCACAAATAAAATAATTGGAGGGGAAGTTAAGGTTGCAGACATATTGGTATTTAGGGTGGGTAATACATAGAAACGCTAAGGTACAGCAATGTTACCTATTTACTCTTTAGATTGCCTCAGAGCTTTAGTTTAACCCACAGTGGGCCAAATCCTTGTCTGCTGTACCATGGCTGAATAGATAGATGGGCTTTGTATAGGGGATCTTGTGTCAGGAAGATGGGCTGGAATTATTTCCACCAGACTGCAGAGCTGCTCACCTACTGAAGCCCAAGAACTGCAATATCACCATCAGCACTTGCATCCCATTGTGCAAAGAAGGGTGAATGACCACTGGGTCTGCATAGTCATGGGCCCATGGCTTTGATCCTTCCACAGCCCAGTCCCCACCTCCAGTCATACTGAAGAGGCCAGATCCACAACTGGTGTAACTCTATTGAAGGTAATGCAATTACCCTGATTTACACCAACTGAGAAACTGGTATACAACAGACTGTGTGTGTGTGGGGTGGGGGTGGTATTTGTAAGGATTAAGTTTGTAGAAAAACAAACAAATACAACAACATAGTGAAAGCCGAAAAAGAAAAAAAAGTAACTCTAGTCAAAAGACAAGTTAGCTTCTCTCTCTCCTCCCTCATGCAATCAGAGGTTTCTCTGCACCTCATCTTGTGTGATAGCTACAAGAACCAGCCAGGCAAAGCTCAAAAAAGTTTGATAACACCTGAGATTGACAATAAAGTGTGTTAGATAACAGGCTGATGAAACAAGATACTGTTATCCAAACACCTTCTCTAACATTGTCTGTGTCATTAGTCTTTTATCTCAGGTGTTTGATGGAGAGGGGGGATGGGGACATGCCCCTGCTCTTCCCCCAGCTCTGTTGGAGTAACTAGATCCTACTAGTAGAGACAGAGAGCAGTCCATTGCTTCTCAGATGAGAACAGGGACTACAGCTGAGAAGGACACAAATGGGAAGGTTCCAGACATAACTTGGCCCTTATTGTGACTGTGCTTCTTGGACTATTCCATCATGTCTCCCTCGCTAAAGTAGTAAATGAAACAGTCAGGTATGAAATCCCCTCTGGTTTAGAAAACCTGAGTCAAAGGTTTAAATCTCAGTGGTGACTGTGCCAGCCCTTCATCCTTTTGAATTAGATAAAATGGATTCTGCCCAATGAACTCTGCGTCTTGTTCAGCTGAACACTTAAAAATCAAGGTCCTATCTGCTCTTCTTGGACATTAAGGATCACAAAACACTTTTCACAATAGCATGAGGTTTGTTTGTGCCAATCTCCTTAGCCAAAAATTGTGTGTGCATGAGTGCCACTTCCCATCCCTGAGCTTCATGCTGTGACATGTCCTATACAACTGAATAATGCTTTAAGGTTCTTTCAGGTGAACGTAGTTATTTAAGTATAAGATATGGCCAAAAAATAAAAATTAAAAAAAAATCCTGTAGTATGAAAGAGAGAATAGCACATATATGAAGAAAACTGAAAGTTCATACGGAAGATAGATTAAAATAAAAATAAAAAACTCATATCTATTGTGTGAGAGAAAAATAAAGAGAAAGAAAATGAATTATCTAAAACAATAGAGGAAAAGAAAAGATAAAGATGAAGGAAAAGAGAAAACTTTAAAGAAACAATCTGAAAGAAAAGGTGAACAGTCCATAGTACTAAATTAAAAAGAGAAGAAACACACAATGAAATAGAGAACTGTATTAATAAAAATTAATATAAGAGCTACAGTT